GGTCGGGTCGGCCGCCCCTTCGCCGGCCTGCCTGCCTTCCTTCCCCGGCCGGGTGGAGCCGAGCCGCCCGGTCCCCGCCTCCCTCCGCTCCTCTTCGGCTATAGAGGACGCTCACCCCGAGCCTCTCCAGCGATTGGGCGCGTCGCGGCGGCATGCAAATCTAGGCGGCTCTCATTGGGTCGCGGGGCCTCTTCTATTGTCAAGAGCGGGCCCGCCCCTTCGCCGGCCTGCCTGCCTTCCTTCCCCGGCCGGGTGGAGCCGAGCCGCCCGGTCCCCGCCTCCCTCCGCTCCTCTTCGGCTATAGAGGACGCTCACCCCGAGCCTCTCCAGCGATTGGGCGCGTCGCGGCGGCATGCAAATCTAGGCGGCTCTCATTGGGTCGCGGGGCCTCTTCTATTGTCAAGAGCGGGCCCACTAAACTCCGCCTACTTCCCCTGCTCCTTCTCCCCCCCTCTTCATTTAAGCGAGGCCATCGTTTTCCTTCCCCCTCTCCTTTTTTTTTAAAAAGAGGTAACTGGGTCCTAAAACCCGCCGGGTGCAAACCGCGGGACTCACAAAGGCGAGGGAAGCTGCGTTTTCCGGGCAGGGGGGAGAGGGATTTGTAGGCTTTCGCTTTCTGTTCCTTTTGAACTCTGGAAATGAAATCCTTCTTCGGCAACGTGAGAAGGGCTGAAGCGGAAGCCTGTGCAGTCTGGAGGTTGCTCAAATGGGTAGTCCCTTAGGTTCTCTCTCTCTCTTTTTTTTTTTTTGGCTTTCGGGTGTCACCGGACTCTTCGTCGATTTTGCTGTAGTAAACTCACCGGTCTCTTCTTTCGAGACAAATCATGCGACAGGCGAAGGAATAAGCGAGTCCCTCTACTAGGAGGGCTGGACTGCAGTCCGGGCAAGCCTCTTCCCTACTTTTAAGGCGCCACAGGCTTTATTACGGTGTTGCTAGCCTGCTTGCTACGCTTTTTGGCTGAAAAGGGCTGAGGAGTCCCTGGCCGGGGACTCCCAAGAGTGGAGGAGCCGTGACACAACGGTGGGTTTTGCTCGGTAGTTTACAAGGGTGATGCAGTGACGCGAGTGATGGACTAGGAAGGACCCAGAAGATCTGGGTTCCAATCCCCACTTGGTCATCGACACTTCCGTGTGTGTGTGCATTGGCACTGGTAAACCCCACTCCTTAAATATCTCATTTATCTTGAAAATCCTAGTAGGGTTGCTCTGAATGTGTTCTGACATGAGGGCGAGGAGCATTCCCAAAATAGGTTCGGCAGCACCTTTGATAAGCCTCGTTAAATTCAGATTAAAAACCTGGAATGGATGTACCTCTGGAATTAAAGTCACTCACCTATACTGGGCCTGATCCCTAATTTGAGATATATGTTCTGTGATGGGCTATGGCTACTCAGCAGTAGAGGAAGTACACTCTGCACATGCTCAGATACACTTGGGACTCATTAAGGTCCCTCATTTTTTCCCTCCAGAGATAGTGCTACTGGGACTGCCTTGGGAAATCTAAAATAATTATCTCATCTACTGAGGCGTCTCTGGTTTCAGCGCTTAATCATGCCACTGTTTACTTGCAGATTTCCTCTCATGGAAATATGAATGTGTGCTGTTTCAGAGCCCTTCATCACCGTGTTGGAGGAAAGCAATACCTGTTGAATTTCTGCCTGTCATGCAAATATGAAAGATGTTACAGTGCCGGAAAAAAACTTTAAAGAAACAGAGAAATTGGGGTTTTTCTCTCTTCTTACTCTTTTCGGACACGGTAATATCTTTCATATTTGCATGGCAGGCAGAAATTCAACAGGTATTGCTTTCCTCCAACACGGTGATGAAGGGCTCTGAAACAGCACACATTCATATTTCCATGAGAGGAAATCTG